TTTAGTGTGTGGTGGGGTGTGTGGGGGGGGGGGGGGGGGGGGGAGCACCCAATTCCTCTGTATTTAAATATCTAACACCTAATCTCTATCTTTTACATTTATATCACCCAAATCTTTTACATCACATCAAAAATACCACTATTTTAACTATAAAAAAGCGAAATGCACATTTTCATGAATAAGGTAGCATATATGTAAAAATTGAAGTTTAAGTGTTAGATATGTAAATGCATAGGAATTAAGTAGTTATTATGTAAATATTCCAGATATATATATATATATATATATATAAAGTGAAATTCAGAGATGAAATAAGTATAATCTGACCATTTGAGATGGAAGATACGCAAGTTGTGATTCAGATTTTGGGTGGTTAATTTGCATGAGGTGCTTTGACTGCTCCTCAAAGAGTTTCTGTGCATGTTTATACAATTCCACATCAAGGCTGTTCATCAATAATATTTTCTGAATTACTGTTTGAGGAACATGAAGGCGAGCCTGCAAAATTCCACAAGATTGTTTCATGAATTTGGAGATAAATACAAAACATTAACTTCTAAGACTGACAATGAAAAACCAATATTAATATCCTATAAAATATATTGAAAATTCCTGAAGCAGTGACATGCCGTCTGCGGCACTACGAGGAGGTTGCAGGAGCTTCACGGGTGGAGAGGCGAATACTGGAGAGGAAAGTGGATGCGGCATTTAACACAATTCCACGAAAATCCTAGCCGTTCGATCCAATCTAGCCAATGAATGGGCAGCTGGGTGCGGGAGAGGTCGGCTGACTGGTTTCTCAAATTATGGGTGTAACATGGAGTTCAAAGAAAATGGACATGACCAATGAGAGCTTGAGGGGATGGTATGGTCAGCAATTGTTCATTGAAATTAGTTTAATCAATAATGTCTAAAGCTTAATCTAGGCTGGAACATGCCTCTGTTGGAAGGCACCAGAGTTTTGATTTGATAGTTTTAGTTAACTTAATAGGCATCATTTAGGTTCTTGATTAAGATACTTAGAATAATTTTAAATTAAAGACTTGTTGCTCAATTTGCTAATCTAGTTACACAAAATAGGTTTAACACCTTAGTGTCTGTGTGAGACAACTGCAACTTATTAAAAAATAACAGTGAAACTGCTGAAAATAATCTGTTGTTCAAAAAGCTGAAGTAGTCATTACATTTATTTATTTTTTTTTTTTTTTTTTTGAAAAAACCAAACCGCAGCTGAAAGATGCTACCGCAACTAGCCAGGCCCGGTGTGAAAATGCTGATTTCAAGAGTCTGAAAATGCAGTTATTTAAAAAAATTGTCAAAATGCAGTTTACCCAAACAGACAAATAGTTAACACTAAAAAAACAAATTTGAATATGAAGATTCATAAAGTTATGCGAGAGAAAATATGGTCCAATAAGATGGGTCTATGAACTTTATATCAAGTAAGTTCTAAGAAAAAAAAATGCAAATTGCCGATAATTAAGAAAAAAAAGTGCGAAAATCTTTGAATCTATATGCAGACATGATAATTGAATTGAACTAGAAAATAATCAAATATTTAGAACTAAACCTTTTTTGAAAAGTTAGCAGGAAAGATCTGTCTTAGTGACAATGTCCGACGCTTTGATTGGGATTTTCGCAAACTAGATGTGCACGTTTCGTAGGCCTCCATCAGTTTTTCAACAGTCATCTGGCAGAAATCAAATAATCCAAATTGCAAAAATAAACAAAATGAGAGTGAGTGAATGTTGCTGAGAATAAAACTGGAGAGAGCTTGAAATCATCAATATGAAGAGTAGGCCTAACACAAACTGAGCTTACCATTTCTGCCATTTGCTAATCCCAATATGTATTGCAGCCCACAAAAATAACTATAATTTACTTAAAATTACATCTTCATCATATAAGTACATTTATAGTGCATCAAATGAATAAAAAATATTGTTATTTTAAAAATTTAATAATAATTTTATGCCCTCTAAACCCTGTAGGCATGGTCAAACTTACCCAAACTGGTCAGACCAGCAGCTTATCAGACTATTTAACATACCCAGTGAGGCAGAGCAAATGTTTGAATGTGATGCAGGAACATAAGTACAACAACAATAAAAAGCCTTCATCCCACTAAGTGGGGTCGGCTAAATAAATTTTTCTCTTTGCATTGCGTCCTATTAAGTGTCATATTTTCATTTAATTCTAATAGATTAAGATCATTTTTTATACAAAATGCCCAAATCATTTTAGGTTTACCTCTACCTTTCTTAACAAAAGAATCTAAAACATCTACTCTTCTAACCGGATCATCAGATGGTCGACGTTTAATGTGACCAAACCATCCAAAGATGTCTCTCTAATCTAGTCCGCTATTGGAGCAACACCAACCCTATCACGAAATTAATTATTTCATAGTTTGTCACTCATCCACCAAAGCATTCTTAACTCAACAACACTTAACTTTGTTTTATGATTCTCTTTTAAAGACCAACATCTTGTCCCATAGGGTATTCCAGGTCTCACCACCATCTTATAAAATTTTCTTTCAAGTCTAAGCGGTACTTTTCTATCACACAATATGCCCGATGCATTCCTCCACTTCAGCCAACCAACTTGAATTCTACTGATAACATTTCCATTTATACCACTATCACTTTAAACAATAAACCCGAGATATCTAAAACGTTTACACCTTTTAATGATTTGATTACCCATAGTTACAACTCTGCAGCTAAAGCTACTACTACTAAAATTATTTCATATATCAGTTTTAGATCTACTCAAACAAAAGCCTTTAGACTCCAATGTAGACCTCCATAATTCAAGTTTTTTCTGAACTTTTTCTCTAGTCTTTATCCACAAGAAGTATATCATTAGCAAAAAGCATACACCAAGGTACATTCACCTATAATTGTCCAGTAAGAGCATCCATAACTAAAGTAAAAAAAAGTATGTGCTTAAAGCAGATCCCTAATGTAATCCAACTGAAATAGAAAAATAATTAGTCAATCCTCCTTCCATTCGAACACAAGTAACAACTCTAGTATACATATCTTTAATGACTTCAATATAAGACATGTCAAGATCTTTCTTCTTTAGAACTCTCCAAAAACTTCTCTTGGAACCTTATCATAAGTTTTTTTCTAAATCACTAAAAATCATATGTAGATCCTCCTTACTCTCTCAGTACTTCTCCATCAAACCACTCAATAAATGTATAACTTTCATAATAGACCTACCCGACCTAGATGCAAACTAATTATATGAGAAATCTTTGTATCACGTCTTAACCTATGTTCAATTATCATCTCCCATAATTTTTAAATAACACACATCAACTTAATTCTTCAATAATTTGCACACTCCTGAGCATCCCCTTTATTTTTAAAAATGGGAACCAAAATACCTTTCCTCCACCTCTCATGCATCTTTTTAGTTTTTTAAATAATATTAAAGAGTTTAGAAGCAGGAACAAAAGTAAAAAAACAAAAAGAAGATTTGCATACAAGCCACACAATTCCTATGTACTTGTATATATAACAACTAAACATTAATTTTTACATGTATAGCACTTTACTCCTGCATGAAAATGTGCATTTCATTTTTTGAAGTTAGTAATAGTAGTGTTTTTGATGTGATATGAAAGATTTGAGTATTATAAATATAAAAATCAGAATTTGGGTGTTAAATATGCAATTACATTGGAATTATGGGGTATGCGTGTATGTAAATACTCCAAAAGAAAATAATTAGAAGATTATTTTACATTCTTATCCGTCGTTTCAGATGGTGATGGCGGAGCGTCTTCTCCAACTTTTTTCACTCCTGTACTATTCTAACAGGAATTAAAAGAAACAGTTATTACCATTCAGAGAAAATGTATTCTAAAACTGAAATAAATTTTCTGGGGATACCTGGTCCTGATTTTCCCCACCTTCTTCAGATTCTTGAAAAGACCCATTTCTGTTAAATAACAACACAAAAAAAAAAAATGCATTAAATAAGTTCCTTCGCAGATTTTATATGGTATTCCAAGTGGGAGGCATAATTCTTAAATTTTTAGAGAGAAACATATTATTCTACACCGTGAAGGTCTTCCCTAGCCAAGATCCTTCCCATCGGGCAAATAGAAGCGGCTGCCCATTGCTTCATAGCGAAGCCCACTTAATCTCATGGATTACCCTGATGGTTACCCCGTGAGATTGCTAGGACTAGTAAAGCTCATAATCGAACATTGATATTTGCATATACTTGAATGTTTGATCGCAATTTGTATGTAACACATTGCATGTATCACTTTGGTTCAGCCAGCTGCCCCGGCCCTGACAACTGATTACTTAGGTCCTTCGACCACTTTGATCCAGTTGGTCGTCCTAGCCCGATGGACACTATTGACCATGACACCGGATTGACCACCCAGGTCAAACCAATAGAAAAGTGACCAAATTCACTTGCATATTTGTATGTTTTGCAAGTGCACTTGCATATTTAACATTTCTCATATGACATATTTAAGCTTACATAGTAATACTTTTTTTTGAATGTTATGCTATATAATAAACTCATTTGCATGATGAAAATTTAAACCATTTGCATTTGACATGTGCCTATATTTAGTATCTCAATGAGCATCGACACTTGCAATAGCACCGTACGCATATGTCACCATATGTGCACGGTCTAATATATTACATTTTGTTGTGAGCGGTGACTAGCAATGCTAGTCCGCCGGTGTGTGAATTTCCGACATAGAGAGCATACCACCACGTCTCTTATGGTGTCACACTCGAACACCATAAGCCCTTTTCACATTGTATGCTCAATCAGGGTTATGCCTTAGGAGTCTCTAAACCCATCAAGTGTACAAGTTATCAACATTTGAGTTCTATTATTTGCATTTGTTTGCATGCTTTGGTAGATCCCGATAAGTGAGTGACCCTGTGTCGATCGCGATGCTTTAACAAACATCGTTCACCGGGTAGATCCCGAGGAGCAATACGAGTTAAAGCATGCAAACAAAAGAGGTCAATAAATCTAATGGATCTAACTAGTACGACTATGCTAAAAATTTTGTGGATATAACTAGTATCGTCTTGCGTGTTACGGATCTGCATTTAATGGCCCTAGTTAAAAAAATATATATTATTTTTCTACTTATGATATTCATTTTATTTTATTTTTTAATTATGCAAATAGTAAGCTAGGTCATATGTAAGGCCAACTCCTTTGGAGAATCCATCTTGGGTGACTTTGTTAAATCCTTTGGATCTTTAGAACGGGGTCGGAATTGACGACCCTGTCAAAGTTGTACATATCTGAAGACTTCACCCTGAGCACTTAGATGCTGGTTAGGATACTTTCCATTAGATTGTGTGTCAGGCTAGAACAAGGCTGCTAGGTAGTATTGTTGGCACCAGACTATTGTTCTGTGCTTGTTTAGTTGTCGTAGCCAGGTGACTTTTTCTACTTGTGTTTTTGGTGTGCTTGCATGTTACCTTGTTTGTGCATGTGCAATAGTGTATTAGGTCGGTTTTTCTTGCAGGAAGTCTTACCTAAATACACACGCAGATTTAATAAGGGGGTAGCAATGTCATGATTTATATGCTAACCATTTCTTGCAGATTTAATAAGCTGGGAGCAATTTCATGATTTATATATTAACCCTTTCTTGCAGGCACCGCTAGAAGTTCCTCCCGCCAGGCATGGCTCATATGTGTTACATGTTAGCTCGTGCTAACATTTTTTACTGGTCGAGTCCTCTATTTTCTCTTTCATATGTATTTGATAGAGTATTAGGATCGAGTCTGTATTGAAGCTAAGATACAAAATGGGCCTCGAGGCATAGGACGCATCGAGCCATGTGACGAGAAATCAGGAAGAGCAGGCTCATGCCATATCTTTAAGTCCAAATTTATATTCTTACATAGAATTAGGACCAAGTATGTTTATACAATGCCTGATCGTTTTTCCTAGGATATGTTGCCGACCCGGTGACACCGACCTTTCTATGTTTATTTGGGGCATGCTTTTACTTTTCTACTGCATTTTTGCATGCTTGAAATTGTTTTCTTATTTAATTGTGGTTTGTATGGAATTAATCTAAGAAAATAATTTAAGCTCATTAAGGACCCTAAAATCTTAAAATTTCTACAAAATCTTAATAAGAAAAGATTAAGATTAATTAATATTTAGGGTTAAAATATTCTAGATTTCTCAAAACCCGTACTTTACTTTTCTGCATGGCCTTTGGGCAGGTTTTAAAATGGTTCGCATGCATGGCTGTAAACCCAAACATGTTTAATAGAGCCTTCACGTCATAGGATTGTGGTAGACAACTGCATCATATGCATGTACTCGATGAAAAGTCCCCGCGCTTCTCCATTCCTGACTTGGCCAAACATAAATTTTTATGTGGATGTTGTCTAGTACTATTAGGGTGTTAGAGGCATCCTCGACCCAAACAAGGTATAAGTCCTTTGTGCGGAGTCTTTCCAGCTTTGTAGCTGAACCTCTTTTCTCTCCTTTCTAGTGGCAACTCTACCATTTTCTTGACGAACGTAAGCCCCATCTCTTTTAACTGCACACGTTTAGGGTCATAGGAATTAGAATTTCCTTTGACTTTAGGGCTACTGAGACTTCCTTGGACGACTCAATTTATTGATTGCTGATAAGGAGCTTAAGATTGTATTGAATCAACTACCTTCACAATCAGGTAGACTTAAGGTCTACATAACTTGAAATGACGGAGTCGTGGTATCTTGACCAGCCAACCTCTAACTTTTTAAAAGATCTTTTCTTTCTTGTTGACACCACTTTTGAACCTATCGATTCTTCTGATGAATCATTGATATCATCTCGTGGACCCCGCATGCCTAGGTGTCGCCACCCATAGTGGTTACGATGATTCACCCTCTGCCCTGTGGCCTAATATAGATGTCGAAAGTATCGGAATTTTCGCTCGAGATGATTTAAATCTATTGGTTTTTCCTAATAATTGGATTTCATTAAATCATGTAAGCGAGACCTTTTTATCCAGTGTTTTTAACATCCCCAAAATTTAATTAACCAAAGGAATATATTCCTTTGAGAGCTGCCCTTGACCCCACAACAAGCATTTAAACTTTATTCTCTGGTTGTGAGTTGCTTTCATACGATCCTCTTCGTGGATGTCTCCAAAGTATTTTCGATCTGATCTCATTTCGAACATACGCTTAGGAGTTATCCACGGGAAGTTCATTTTATATAAGTTTTTCGCGTTCTTTCTCTCGTTTGTCTATTGCCCGTTGTATATCCCTCCTTAAGGTTCTTCTTCTCTTCGAATCATTCATTTTATCCGGGGGAGATGTTCACTCAAATAAGAGAATAATACGATAATTATAAATAAACAAGTTGACGACTCCTTAAAAAATAAAAGAGAGGAAAACAAAGAACGAAAACACATACAGGTGCAAATTCCAACATAAAATTACTCGCCTGTTCCATTAGATGCCACTTCTTCGCCAAGAGAGCTTAGCGCTTCCGATTGAGAAAGTACTTGTGAACCAACCATATTGGCAAAGATTGTTGCCGACTCTTTATGATCTTCGGTGAGACCAATATACAACATATTCTCCAATCTACCCTGAAACATTGTAGCCATTAATTAACAAGGACAATGAATTCAAAATCTTATGCAGTGACCCAAAAAAACAGAGATCTGAAGCGCTACTTTCCTCACCTTCGCTACTTCTAAAACATAGTGACCAAGGTTTGGGTGCCTCCTGACACAGCGACGTATTTGAGGAGATTCGGCAAGAAAGGAATTGTTCGTTAAACCAGCTAACTGTGAAGTCACAAAAATTTAAAAAATTCATGAGTCAAAGAGCTCAAATTCCAATAAACTTCAAAACAGATATCTGAAACTATGCAAATTGAAGTGCTTCCCTGTAAAGTATCAATTACATCAAGAAGATAAGCAGAAAAATGTAGTTTATAGAGGAAATTCTCAAAATCTACATATTATTCAATATAAGAAGTTCAGCAAAGTGACAAATATCATAGACTCTGCATTATATCATAAGGAGAAGTAGAAGAAAAAGAAGTAGAGTAAGAAGTTATAAATTAAATTTTCATTTTCAAACAGAAAAAACAGCCAGAACTCAAATGATAACCTTCAAATTTATTATTTAAAAAGTAGAATATAATACAGCAAGGCTTTCTAACATAACTCAGTGTAGCTCATCTGTCAGAGCAAGTTACCTACCAGCTTTAAGAAAGGGAAACTGTTTGACCCACATAAAGCAAATTAAATATTCTTTATTTAGTCATTAATTTTTGAGTCAGTAAGCAAATCAAAATTTTTTTAATAATTTGTTATTAGTCATTAGTTTATTTATTAAAAATTTCATCACTACTTATTGTCTGAGGAACATAAAATATCCTTTTAAAGATAATTCTAATCAAACTTAGATTATTGAATAAAATGGATTTCATGGTTGTATAGTTCAGTCGACTAGAACATTATCCCCAATTAAAGGCGCACGATTGCCCATAATTAAATCAAAATTTTCTTATTTAAACTTGAATTCAAATTTAAATCTAAATTTCAAATTAACAATCACCCAAAGCACCATTCAAATTTGACTTCAAATTCAAAATTTACATCGTCTACTCTTTACCTAAAATTTCTACAAAATATTAAGCAGCCTGGTCCAATTATAACTAACCCTTAACCTAGTCATATAGATGTGACTCAAGTCATTTTTTGCATTAAATTTCAAAGCACCATAAACTCCATATTCTGCACTAATTCTGGAATGAGAAAAGTCTTTCTTAACAGAGAAAATATATGAGAGAAAAAAGAAAGAGAAGAAATGCCTTTAAGTTCATTAATATACATTTGAAAAATCTTGACTTTCACCTTCAAAGCTGATAATCATATGAAAATCTCCTGCTCCAAACTGAGTACGATACAAACCCTGAATTCAATTGTGCTCTATAAGTAGCTCCTCTAGAATTTCAATAAACCTAAAATAATCATAACTGATGCTAAAGTCAAAGAGTGGTAATCCTAGTAAGAAATTTTCTTAAATCTATTAGATTGTTTGGTAAATTGCTATATGGATGGATTATACTCAAAATTGAAAATTGAAATTTTAACGTTAGAATTTCATATGCAATTTAATTTTAAAGACAAATTGATCCATTATCATACAACATACATGCTAGTTGCATTTGATGCCTCATTCAAAGCTTGCAGTTCTGCGTCACTAGATTAGTTAATGGGCATTTGGTCAGTTTGGAAGGATCGTTTTTCAAATTAGTCCAACAGATTGCAGCCAAAATTTGAAATCCGAAAAATTGAACCAATCAAAATTTTGATAAAACCGAACATAAATTTAATTATGTTTAAATGGTTCGATTATGAACAAACCAAAATTTAGTTGATAGTTGGAGTTCAGTTACGAAAAAACATCAAGAATTACATATCTTAAATGTATAAAATATCAATTTTATTTCATGAATCCTCCATTTAGTTTAAAAGTTTTTTGAATATCGATTTTATTTCATGAATCCTCCATTTAGTTTCAATTTTTTTTGATTTTTTTTTTTTGTTTTTCAGTTTGTTTGGCTATCTGATGATCTGATTAGAAGAGTATATGTTTTATATTTGACTTATGTTACGAAAAAAAGAGGTAGACCTGGGAAGACTTGGACTTATTGTATAAAAAAATGAACTTAATTTATTAGAACTAAATAAAAATATGACACTAAATAGGACACAATGGAGAAAAATGATTCATGTAGCCGACCCCACGTAGTGGGATTAAGGTTTTGTTGTTGTTATTGTTGTTTTTCAGTTTGTTCGGCTAAATGAAAATTAAAATTGAGCCAATAATCAAAAATTGAAATTGAGGCTTAAAAAACAAAAACCAACATGCAATTTTGAAATAGAACCGAATCAACTAAACTTGTTCGGTTCAGTTTAGAATTTCGGTCTACATATCCTCATGGATCTTTAGCTATGAATATGGGACGTTGTCATAACTAATTGAACAATACGAATGCACATTTGCATAAATTAAATTTTGATTTACAAATTCACATTTATATTATTCTTCTAAAACGACAAAACCATATTATACTTTGCAGACAATTGGAAATTAAAACATTAGCCTTGGCCATATATTTAATGCTTGAACTCTTAATTAAAAAATGACTCAATAAAAAAGAATGCATGGAAGTTGCAGGAAGTTGAGGTCTAGTTTCTAAGGAAATTACAATGAATATTAGATTTTTGTGAAATTTACATGCCTTACACACAATTTTTATGTATTTACATATCTCACACTTAAACTTTCATATGCATGAAAAGGTGTACTTCACTTTTAAAAGTGGTAATAACACTATTTTAACGTGATATTAAATTTTTGAGTGTTACATGTGTAAATAAGAAAGTTGAGGTATGAGATATGTGAATATGAAAGTTCAGGTGTGAGATATGTAAATACATAAGAATTGTGTGCTATATATGTAAATGGCCCTAATTTTTTGCCTGCAAATTATTCATCCTCTGTATTTTCAGCTGTAGAAAAAGTAACGTGCAGATATATTATATCTAGAGGTATTGCAAGACATGTATCAATGCACTAAATATTAGCAAGTGATAAACACAATCAAAACAAGTTCTCCCTATTAAGCAGATTAATAAAGGGGAATTTACATACATAGCACACAATTCTAATGTATTAAGTTATCTCGTACCTAAACTTTCATATTTACACAAATAGCACTCGAAACCTTAACATCAAATCAAAAATAGCACCATTACCACTTTTTTAAAAAATAAAAAACATTTTAATACATACAAGTTTAGATCACCGAAAAGCTATTTAAGTAAACATGAAAGTTTAGGTGTGAGATATGTAGATACATAAGAATTGCGATAAACCAACATTAACAGGCATACGTGTTGATGCAAAAGGCTGCCAAACTCTACTAAGATTCATTAGCTCGTGTCACCACAACAAATAAAAGAAGAGACCAACACAGAAACCAAAACACAACCAAAAAGGATCGAGGTGAACTAACATACCTGAAAGGTGGCTCCATTATGAATAATTTCATGTGCCATGGGGTCATCAACAAAAGCATGTAAAGGCATAACCACCTCACTTATGTCATACGGATTTCGCATGCCTTCGATACTTCTAACTTTAGCATGTTTCCGAGCATCTCTCTAACAAAGTTACAAAAGACCAGAAAGCATTAATAGTCTTGGGTGGGCAACACATGTTTGCCAATAATGAAAGGAAGATTACAAACATACCACTCAATTCCCATGCGTTTACATATCTAATACCTAAAATTCAATTTCTACATGCATACCACTTTAAATATGCATGCAAAGGTGTATTTCACTTTTGAAAAGTTAAAATGGTTGTATTTTTTATGTGATATGAATAAATGAAAAAAACAAAGTTTAGGTGTTAGATATGCAAGTACATAAGAATTGGGTGGTATGTATGTAAATGCCCCATATTGAAAATCTTGATAGAATAATGTACAAATTCCCGTATGTTATTTTGCTTAATATGGTTTGACCTACTCAGGTTTCCACTTTTAATCATGGCGATGGTGTATCACACTCACCGCTATGAAACTACACAAAAAATTACTCTTCCTATTCATCATGAATTTGGAAGTTAATACATTACCGGGAAACTGATCCAACACCCTAATGGCGCAGTTTGTAGAACACTAAAACAGGTATTACATGAAAATCAGTGTTTAGCATTACCATTTAGGAGTCCCAAGAAAAATGCTATAACTCCAGCAAAATGTAGCTTTATTACATAGTATAATTTTCTTGCAAGCTAGAGATGATAGTGCATTCTTTTGATAAAGATTTTGTAAGGTAAGGCCGTATCACTTAGATATGTAAATATGCACTCTATATTATCATTTATTTATGCCTAATGGATCCAACATTAGCAAACAGACTAGATGTCAAGATAATTTAAGAAAAAGAAACTTGCATACCTAACTCAAAATTACTATGTATTTACATATCTCACACCTAAACTCTCATACACAGATACATAACACTTTAGTGCTTTAAGCCCATGCATGAAAATGTGCATTTCACCTATAAAAAGCGGTAATAGTGCTATTTTTGATGTCATATTAAAGATTTGAGTGCTACATGTGTAAATATGAAAGTTTGGGTGTGAGATATGCAAATACATAAGACTTGTTAGCTATTTATGTAAATGCCCCTTTAAGAAATTGTGTATAAAAGATTTGGCAATCTCAAAACCAAACAAAATTCCAAAAGTTGGGTGAAGTTCCCCCCATTCGTTTACGACTAATTTTCAATAAATTCTACAAGAGAGTAGATTGTTACAAAGAAAATTTTGTGCACGAATGTTGTGGAAGACATTTGGTTAAGTACGTGTGTAATAAATCTTATATATGGTGTTAATTTTTTGTTCATGAGTTATTCCATGGTTTCTTAGATTATAAATATTGCAAAAAGCATCATGTACTAATGCATATGAAAGTTACATGTACATATGAAGTCATAAATTATCCATAAGAATCTATTTTGCTGATATGTATGTAAATGTTTAATAATGATAGATCTAGCATGCATTAGTAGTGTATGCCCTTCTGCCATAGTAGTTCGTTTTCACCTCGGTTCATCTGAGCTCCTAAGCAGATTCTTCATAGCAACAAAAGTGAGACTATGTTATAAATAATTAAGGGCTACAAGCACAAAAAAAGATAAGGGAAGTAAGCGAGGGAATGCAAGGTCAAGCAAGGTATGTAGCAGGGAGCACAAGCGAGAGATTGTAGGCTTTAAGTGCAAGAATGCGACATGATTGCAAGCAAGATATCAGGACTCCTGCACGAAGGCCAGCGATGGAAACAAATGATGAGGGTAATTGGGGCGGCAAATAAGGTTAGGAGTAACCTTGCTCTATTACCATGTAGGAGGGAATAGAACTTCTTGAATATTCTTAAATGGAGAGCACCTCAATATGTAATACAGAAATTGATATAATAGGACAAAGTGCAATGAAATAAACATGCTCTACTAACCATGAGAAGTCCCCAAAAATGATTTTCCTATGCCAATAAACACAACTATTATGTCCAAAAGATCAAACGATTTGAAATTAAAAATAAAGTCTAAGACAAGTAAACTATTTATGTCTACATTTTGGTTACAAATAGCAGAATTTTTGTTCAGGGTTAGATTTAGGTGACCCAAACCAAGCTCAAATCCCATAGGGTGCTAAACTGTGGTCACCACCATCAAAGCATGGTACTTTTTAAAATAAAGTATATTAAAAAGAGGCACAAATGTATGTTTTCCCAAACAATGAATTTGTAAGACTCACCTTCAGGCACCTCCATAATATAGGGACCTTCTCACAAATTTGTCATCTTTATATTTGAGTGTAAAAATAGGTAACAGCATAACAAAAACAAGAACTTAGACGAAAGTCCTAGGTCAGACCAAGCAATAGTGAACCTAAGCAACTCAAGCACGACAGAGTTAAGGGTTTATTGAGTGAGAAGTCGTGATTCACCAAAGTCATCAAGTTCCTGAGTCGTAGGTGAGCAACATGCTCCGATGCTAGATTATGATTGGGGGCTACAAGTAGCAATGGAAATTTAACCAATAAAGAAAGAACAACTTCTACCAAAAAAGCTGGCATAAGGAGTCAACTTAGTTGGGCATAATAAATGGTTATGCAACCTCATAACACCCATATATTTATGACACATTTATAATCTTTCTTGAAGCAACAATGTCTTTAGAAGCTTGGCTAAATATCATAAGTGAGCATGATTTTCCAAGAATAAATTGGGAGCCTCAACAAAAGTAAAAAATAAAAAAAAAGAAACTTCATATTAAAATATGCCAATAATTGAAAAGGAAAAATGTATGCAACAAAGGCCATGAGAAATACCCGAAAAAATAGGTCTTCTCTCATCCAAGGAACTAAGTACTTCCATGGCCATATATCCAAGGTACTTACTCCACGAGATCTGGATATCATTTTTCTAGTCATTTGCATCACCGAAGTTAAATTTGGATGAACAAGAAACCTAGCTGCAACTTCCACTGCAAACTCATACGTACTAAAAACTCGATCAATTGGATTTCTTAATATTGTTACAACTGAAGTTTTATCTTTAGGAAGCTTTGACATCAAACTATAGTCATCATGAGTAACAAGCAATCTACATTTGGGTTCCCTGCATAAAATCAAAATTAACTATTTAGTAACCATAACTACATAAACTAATTGAATTATATACTTGTTTCTAGATGATATATGATGAAACAAAAAAATTTAAAAACAATTTGCACCAAAAAGTATTTCCCTGATGACTAATATATAAAAAATGCTAAGAGGCCATTTGGGATCACTTTGGATTTAAGTATTTTTTTTAAATTTTATTTTCTTTTACTTATATTTTGATTTGAAATAAAACATATTTGATTAAGATATGGTTTTTTAAAAAAAAACTAAAAACATCTAAAAAAATTGTGTTTTCAAAAACATGTTACTTTATTTTTAGAAATAAAAAAATAAAATATGTAAAAAAACACTAAACATACATTTTTTTTAAAAATACAAGAAAAAAACATACGCAACGATAAAAATACAAAATTTATCCCAAACAAGCCCTAAACAAATGAGAACAACTAGAGCTCATTATTTGGAGTTAATTAGCAATGCATGACTCAAAAGGTTTGGGTTACTGATCTATCTAAAGTAAAAAAATACAAGCTCAGTTAACTAAAGCCATTACATACTCTAGTTAGAAATTCGATGTTAGTTTGGGATGAAAATAAAGAGCTCTCCAAGGACAAAAGGGAAGATGGGAAGGAGGAAGAAAAAACAAAGTTCAGAACATGTTTATACACATGGTAATGTAATTCTTGTTTACCTTGGATCAAAACGTAATTTGTCATATGAACGGGGGCACTCGTCGGTGTTCGCATACAGTTTTTTCAAGAAACTGTTACAGGAAAAATACAAGAAAACTAAAAAAAAAATTTGTAAAATGCAAATAAGTTGTCTGGTTGGTGTAATAACCAAATAGAGAAATACTAACCAGTAGTAATAAGTTCTCCCTCCAGTTCTAGGAACATGTAAGAAAAATAACAAATCCTTTAGAGTCAGCTTGTCTGCCTTGATTCCATTGTCAGCTGAAGATTCAGCCCACTTCCTAACTATATTTTCACAGCGGGAAAAATCATCACCGCCCTTAGATGCAAGTGCTGATAAAAAGACCAGAAATGATTCAGAAAAAAGAGCTCTAACTATTTTATTGATTATTTGAAAGTGATTTATTGGCCCCAAATTTTATATTTTGCTGATTGAACTCCATAGGCAAGGAAAAAACTGAGCTTAATAAGTTGCATGAGTAGCATAAAGAATGAATAAAACCAAATACTTGCAAACACGTGTATCGCTGCAAGCCAAGTTATATATATTGTTGTACTTAGAGGGGTGAACTAGTCAAGTCCAGCCAAGTTCGAGCAACCCTGAGCTCGTGTGTGATCTTAATTAATTAATCGAATTAGAGCTCAAGCTTGAGCTCAATTTTACAGGTTCTAGGCTCATGTATTATGAAAGAAACAATAGGACTATGATTCAATCCACTTTTGTAATGATAACAATAATGAGAAACTAGAGGATAAATAAAAACAAATCGATGGAGAAAATGATAAGCGAACTTTTTAAAAGTTGTTAAAAACTTTTAATTCAAACCCTTGAATTATAATATATTTTAATTTTAATTTATATTAATATTTTTAAATAAACAGGCTCACGAGTTAAAGAGTAGAGTCAGAACTAGCTCAAGATGGGCTCACGAATTAAAGAGTCGAGTCAAGGCCGCGCTTGACTCAGTTGCACCCACCCAGTGAGAAGAAGGTTGTGATCATCTTGTTGCATGTAAATATAAGATAATAAGTGAAAGTCACCAAGAGAGTAGATGATATACCCAAAGAAATAAGCATCAATAAAATGCTAAGTCTCCTAGCCCTTGCCATAACGGATTAAGGCTGTTTACAAAAAAAAAACAACAACATTAGCCTTTATTGGTTTATCAGCACCAAAAAAACAGAGAAAACTTTGTTCCAAAACTTCATCATAATTACTTAAAGACACCATAGCCTCTACTGATTATCATTAATCTTTTAATCGAAAAGTAAAAGCATATAGTCTTACAGATACAAGAAAAATCATAAAATGCAAAATGAAAAATCTTAACAATGTCAGTAAAAGAATGCTAATGGCATGTTAAAATAAAATAATTCAATAGTAATCTGATAAATTACTCAGAAATTCACAAACAGAATATATGATAAAAGAAATAATGATTCAAACAAACTACATGCAGCATACCTACATGAAAACTAAGGAGCAAAAACACATAAGCCTTTGATATTATACTATATGAACCAAAAGAAACAGTTTCTAAGGAACTAAAACCTAGAAATCCAAATGAATACAAAAGAAGGTTAAATACAGCAAAAAGATTGAACATTTAAACCTAAAATTTCCTAATAATAGGGCCTGAAAAAGAAATAATAAACTCAAATTTTCCCAAACAGCTGAAAATTTTGCGAAACAAAACAGTTTCTAGCACACACTCAATCAGAAATCCCCATAAACAATCCACTCTATGAAAGAACATAACTAAAAAACAGAAGAACATCCTGTAACAACACTATATCGGATAACCTAGCCGGCCAAAACCAAAAATCCGCATTCAAATGAGATCTCTCCGACCCGCTTTCTAAAAACCCTACAAACGGGATTTTGAAAAATGCGCATGAAACCCTAACCATCAACTTTAAGGTACAATTCAGCAATAAAATAACACTGAAGACCAGAGTGAAGGGGGAACAAACTACCAGAATTTCGAGTTCATGAATCTTAATTTTCGGGGAATATCCGATTTTCAATGAAGCCCCAAAATTCCCAACCCGACCAAGCTTCGAAATCAAATCAAAAATCAATTGTTTTTTCTTTTGTTCCAGACAACTTTTCTCTGAATTCTCGCTGAATCTTTCCACCCAGATTTACAAGAGATCTTCTGAGTGGATTTCGAGACGGCGGATCCATCGAAAAAACGCTTTGACTCCACAATTGGGAATGGAAATTGAAAATAAATCTTTTTTTTTTTTAAAGTGGTTTTGAAGTATTAAACACTTAATTCTTTTTGCATTTATTTATCACACAATTAAATTTTTATTTTTACAATCTAATCATCATTAATCTTTTTTATAAAAAGAAGATGAACGACAACATATGTCTGTCTATTTCATATTTGCTAATTCGACCCAGATGAATTCAAATCGGGGACCGAGAAGACTTACATCTAATCTTTTTTATAAAAAGAAGATGAACGACAACATGTGTCTGTCTATTTCATATTTGCTAATTCGACTCAGATGGATTCAAATCGGGGACCGAGAAGTTTTACGCTGCCGAAGCTGCCAACCAACAGACCAACAGTTGCGCACATGAGCTAAGCATATTAAAGTGTAATTCACATTTTTCATACATCTTTTCAAAACATAGAAAAATATGTTTAATTCGTAAAGATTAAAGTTCATGTGCGAGATAAGTAAATGCATGAGGATTAGGTGATTCTTACTTTAATTTCTTTTTTTTAATTGGAAATATGAAATAAAAAGAAGTCAAAAAATAAAAATATTGTCTAATTTTTAATTGAGTTATAAATGAGTTTTAATTTATGCATAAAAATTTCAAATTTAGGGATGTGAGAGAATCAATGCATTTCAAAAATAATTCTTTATTGGATTAGTCATGATTTTTTAAAATGAAAAAGTTTTAGAGGCATTTACATGCATTCCACTATATTCCTATGAATTTAGATACCTAACAAATAGAGGCTTGACTTCATGAAACTTAAGAGATAGTTGACCTTATTTGTTTATCAACCCTCGTATTTAAGTCAATGTTCCTTTCTAGTGCCCTTAGGTCGTTGACCTTAGTTTGACTTAAAGCTTGGGTTGGCATAAATGGACTCGTGTTAGGGTCTGTTTGGGGCAGCTGCGGCTTTTTCAGCTTTTCAGTTGTATATTCTCAGCTTTTCAGCTGTAATTGTGCTGCCCCGGAAAGTTTCTGCGGGGAAGTTAGCTGGTTGTTTGATGTAGTTGTCTGAAAGCAATTGTAGATCGGCTGTTTCTAGAAAATTGACAATTGTGTCTGTGTATTAATGTTGTTTGTAACAAAATATAAAATAATGTTTTTATTAAACAAATTATTGCTTAAGAAATAAATTAATATTAATTACTTTTATTAATTAATAAAACTTATATTTTCATCAAATAATTTAAAACAAAAAATATGTTTATAAATAAAATAATTAATCATTAAATAATAATATATAAATTTATTTAATTATGACTAATTTGAAAATATATGAATTAATCATTAATTATCAATCAATTAAATTAATAAATTTAAATTTAAATAAAAATAAATTAAATTTGTTTTTAGTTAAAATTATTTTTAATTAAATCTTATTTAAAAAATGTTTAACACTTAGACATTCACGAACAGAACAAAGTTTGGTCGTTTTTAATATTATTAATTAAATGTTTTTAATTTCTTTCTAATTAAATATTAAATTATTTTTTTTTTTTTTAATTTCTTTCTAATTAAATATTAAATTATTTAAAAAAAAAAATGCAAAATAAAGTGTGCTTTATATAAAAAGGCAGGTAAGGGTTGAGAATATGCTCCTTTAGCTAATTCCTTTCCCAGCGAGCCTCTAACCCTAATTATTTAGAGGCTCGCTCTGTAGAAAGGCAACCGCGAACGCAGGCCGCGGGGCTCTACCCACAATCGACTTTTAAGCAAAAAAGTCAGACGCGACTGCCTCAATACGCTCCTAAACGCCGAACTTCGCGGTCGGTCCACGCACCGCGCTCCAGACGCCCTCCCAAACGAACCCTTAGTTCAGATCAAAATTAAAATCAACTTAAATTTAAAGCTAATTAAATAAACCCAATTTAAAATGAACCCGAATGAATATTAAAGTAAACTTGAACATAATTTTTAAATTAAATGACAATACATTCAAAAAATTAACTTAAAATTACTACTTAAACCTAAACCTAATTTAATATAAAACTATGCTTACTTTTAAATCCAAATCTAAAGTTAAAATTAACATAAATTAAAGTGAATCTTGCAAAAAAATTAATCAATCGGTAACTAAAATCTAAACTCGAAGCTAAACAAAGGCTGTCAAATTTGCTTGTTGTTTAGAAATAGTTCGTGTTTGGTTAAGGTTTTTTAAGAACCTCGTGTTCGATTTTATTCACTGAGTTAACTAATTGAACACGAACACATTTTTTTTTTTCTTATTTTTTTTTTTTGAGCTCGATATATAAATGAGCCAAACACGAATATAGTTTTGTAAATTTGCGTTTGGCTCGTCATGTTTGGCTCATTTTGGCTCAAAATAATTAAATTATATATATATAATCTATTAAAATTATTAATTAAAAAATAGAATAGAAATAAATTTCATTTTTTGGTACATACATTCCACCATTTATATGCATTTTTTGAAAATTAAAAGGGTGGTATAAATGTAAATAATTAAGCTCAAAGACCATAGATATGTAAATACACAGCAATTGAGTGGTTCAGTTTTAAGAAGATTTGTATCCTTGTCCGATTCTTATGTATTTACATATCTAGCACCTAAAAATCATTTTCTTTTGCATACATACCACTTAAATCATGCATGAAATAGTGTACTTCCTAGAGAGAGAGAGAGAGAGAGAGAGAGAGAAGTTAAAATGGTGGTATTTTTTAACATAAATGTGTAAATTCTCCTATTTTGTTTTAAATCCGCGTACATTTAGCCACAAAATTCTCTATATATTCGTCATTCAAATGAGTTATAAAGTCCATTTGATATCTGCATGCACAATACGTATGTTTGGGACAGCTGCAACTTATTAATAAAAACTACTGATAAGCTGTTGAAAAATAATCTGTTGTTCAAAAACTGTGATGGCTATTACACTTTTTTTTTTCTTTGGAAAAAGTTAGACCGCAACTAGAAAACTAACACCGCATCTAGTCATGAACGGCGTGAAAACACTGATTTAGCGGTTTGAAAAAGCAGAAGAATTGTCAAAACACAGTTTATCCAAACAGGCCTGAGTGCGTTTTCAAAACGCACCGTATCGCACCAAATAAGTTGCCCCATGCGGGTCTCTAGCCACAAAGTCTTCACATAAACCTGTAAGAAAATCTGCACAAATCAGCCATTAAACAGTCATAAGAATGCATTAAGAAAATCTGTCCAAACCTTCATCAAATCTGCATAAATATTGCTGAAATTGTGCATGATTTCAGTCATCAAATAATTCATAAACTTGGTAGAAATCGTTTTTAATTCAACTATTTTCTAGACACCACTTAGGTCTCGCCTGAGAGGACGGTCAAATTCCGCTAGGTTATAGTGAACGCTGAACCCTGAGCTTATTACGCCTAAGATTCTGCTGAAACAATAAAGATCTGTTCTTTGAGTGTTTCCTATTTGCAGGAGTTTCAAAGAGTAAAAAAATGCAATCTTTCATCTTCTCAGTTTAGAAATATCAGAAAAGGTATAGTTTTTATTTCAATTTGTTTTGTTTCAGAGATGAGATCCCTTTTTTGTTTTCTGAAATAGGTGTCTGTGTTTTGGCTCACTGTTAGAGATTTAAGCTATTAGGAAATCCTGAATGAGTTCGATCCAGTAATCTGTATGGAAACAGATTTACTAAATCCTGTAAATCCAACAAGACTATTTTACAATTTCTGTTAGAATTTAAAAAGCCGTTATGACTGTTAAGATGAGGCAATGCCTGATAGACAGACATTCGGAAGCCTGCGAAGTTAAATCTCAAGCCCGCAAAGTTAAATCCAATGGTTCGTAGGATTTAGCAAATCCAGAATTTATAGCCGAAATCCGTGAAATCTTGATTTATATCATCCGGTAGGAAATCCGCCCTTAGATACCCCTGAAGATGTGAAGATTGAGGAAGAGTAGATGGGAGGTGAGAGGAGCTTTTAGGTTATGTGGAATTTCAATCATCAAGGTTGTTGGATTTTGTTACAGGAAATTTGAAGCATTGTTACATAAATCTTTTCTTATAATCCATTCATCATTAATTCAGATTTCACTAAGAGAAAAGGGCTACAGATTTGTTCAGTTTTCATTGCAGCATTTATTTATTTATTTATTTTTTTAAGATGTTCTTTGCATCCATGGCAGCATGCATTTTGTTAGGTATGAGCTGGAGCAGAACGGAGCTAGCCAGCGGAACGGAGCGAAAGCATCTGTCAAATCGGGAGAGTTTCTTTATGTGGGTCGGGGGTGCGGGCTCTACATCGTCGCGGTACGATACAAAAGTAATTTTGTAATTAATATATATATATATATGGTATATTGTAATTCTAAATGGGATTTTTGTACTCTTTTCGTAAAATCTAAAGAAGCCGCCGCTCAGCTCCCGAAGACGTAGGAAAATTGCCAAACATCGTTAAATCTTTGTATTTTCTTCTTGATTTCTATGATTCTCGAGCTTTATTAGCCTTATATTCACAAAAAATTTTGTAAATTCAAGATTAGAGCCTTTACTGCACGAAATTTAAAGCATTATCTTATCTGTACCACTCATCAAGTTTTAAGATGTTTGATAGCTTTCAGTGCACGTGAAATTTGTGGCACGTGCGGCGATAACTTTCGGTCAGTTGAGATGGGAAAATCAATTAAAATTGATATTGCACTCATCTCAAAGTAAATATAAGGTTTGCATATACATCACCTAATTCTTATAAGTTTTCATACTTAAGACTTAAATTTTAATTTTTACATATATATCATCTCACTTGTGTATTAAAGAGGCATTTTGCATTTTTTAAAAAAGAAAAAATAATAATATTTTTAATGTGATGAAATATTTGGGTGGTATGAATTTAAAATATATGTAAATACATAAGAATTGGTGGGTATTCATGTGAATACACCTACATTTAATGACTTCAAGATACATCAAGAGGTCTCATACTAGGTAGTTCTCAGATTAAACAAATGCCAAACACACTAACAATGTCTATTTTTTTTTAAAAGAAGGAAGATTTACGTGCATACGACTCAATTCTTATGTATTTACGTATATCTAACACCTAAACTTTAATTTTTACATTTATGCCACCAAACCATTCCTGTGACAGACAATTAGAGAAAGTCGTCTTAGATGGTTTGGTCACATTAAACATCGACCATCTGATGATCCGATTAGGAGAGTAGATGTTTTAGATTCGACTTGTGTTAAGAAAGGCAGAGGTAGACCTAGGAAGACTTGGGCTTATTGTATTAAAAATGATCTTAATTTACTAGAACTAAATGAAAATACGACACTAAATAGGACGCAATAAAGAAAAAGGATTCATGTAGCCGACCCCACGTAGCGGGATTAAGGCTTTGTTGTTGTTGTTGTTGTTGTATATGCCACCAAACCGATGCATGAAATGGTGATGTATGTGATAAGAAAGATCTGGATGGTATAAATGTAAAATCAAAGCTCAAAGTTCAGGTGTTAGAAATGTAAATACATAGGAATTGCGAGGCATGTATGTAAATGCCCCAAAAATAAAACTAGAGCTAGCAGAATTCAGTATACCCAATAGCAGCACTAGACTTTTTAAGTTTCCTAAAACAGGGATGAGTTCTACAGGGTTTCGATAAACCTCTAAGCCGAAGAAGTCTATGAAGCCTTACTAAGAGCTCCTATTCAAGATTGTCAAACTTCTTACCAAGCGAAAATGATGTCGATCCAACTGATCTTTTTTCAACAAATCATCCTACAATTTTCTTTTGGGGGCATTTACAGAATACCACCCAATTCCTATATATTTACATATCTAACAACTAAACTTTACTTTATATTTATACCACCCAAGTTTTTCATATCACATCAAAAAATATCACTATTATAGCTTTTAAAATGTGCAATACATATTGTCATGCATATGTAAGGATTTTAGGTTTTATGGATATTTTTCTTTTTTTTTTTTTTTTTTTGAAGTAGGCTTGTGAATAACATTTTCATGTTTAGCTTGATTCAAATTCGTTTATTCATTTCAGCTCGTGTTTGGCTAATAGTTAACATGAATGAATTAAAAAAATAATAAAATTTAAATTTTTTAAAAACAAGATAAAAAAAAAACCAATAAACAAATGTTATAATGATATTATTTATTTAATTATTCAGTTAATTCAAGCCAAAAGGAGCGAAATACGATTGAACGAAAGTTTGTTCCTATTTGACTTGATTATAAATGGAGCTCAAAAAAATGGTTAGTGATCAGCTTGCTTGCTTAACAAACGAATCAAATACAAGTTATTTAGCGAACTGAACACAAATTACTCGTGAACGATGAGCTTTTATGACAGCCCTATGAAATCAGATGAAAGCCACAACTTACAAACTCTTTTTGAAGGTGTATTTGATGTTTAGGGCTATGGTTTCAAACGAGGAGGAAGATTAGAGAAATCATTTGACAAATTAGGTTATAAATTTGAGTTCTTACTCTTCAGGTTTTGGTTTTTTTGCCTAAAGAAAAGTTGACCTTTCCTTTGAAGAAGAAATCCCATGTACACTGCTGGAATTGATTTAATTGATAGAATTCAGAGGATTAGCAAGGACCAAGTTCTTATTACTATTTATTTCCTGAGGCTACAAAAAGGTTGGATTAATAACTGCAAGATTTACATACATACCACTCAATTCCTATGTATTTACATATCTAACACCTAACTTTAGTTATTACATACATACCGCCTATGCATGAAAAGATTTATTTCACTTTTTAAAGTTATGATGCCATTATTTTTTATGTGAGATGTAATATTTTGGTGATATAAATGTAAAGTAAAATTTCGGTGTTAGATATGTAAATACCTAGGAATTGAGTCATATGTATGTAAATCAGGAGAAAATGCATGGCATAATGCAAATCTTTCTAAAGCAATTCTTTGCAGGTTATAATCCTACATTAAAAAATAAGAACTCATAGGCAAAAATGAACTAGTTTCTAGTTGCATTATGCATAAGATAAGAAAAAATACAAACATGATATAAATAACCACAGGTTTTACTTTATAGCTGAAATTGAAATCTATTTTAGCGCCATAATATTATGTGAATAAAGCACTAATTATTTCGCAACAACTTTATAAAAAAAAAATAAATAAAAAAGTTGCATGGAAAATTGCATTATAGATATACTGCAACAAAAATAGTATAAAAGTTGAACCTATTTGGTCTGAGAAACTTTGGAAAATGCCAATTCACAGGCCAATGCAATATGGTCACTTCCCCATTTCTGCAGAAGAAAAGAATCAGAAACGCAATTTTAATAACTATTTCCAGTAAATTTTCTGAGATAAATTCTTAGAATTTCACTAATATTTTAGGAAAGAAGAATTTACATACCTAGCCTAGCAATCAAATTTTATGTACTTACATATCTCACACCGAAACTTTCATATTAACACACATGGTACTCAAATCTATAAAATCACAAAATTTTAGAAGTGAAATACATCTTTTCAGGCATAGGTTTAAAGCACTAAAGTGCTATGTAAAGTGCTATGTATGTAAATAATATGTAAATAAGAAAGTTTAGGTGAGAGATATGTAAATACATAAGAATTGTGTGCTACGGATGTAAATTTCCCAAATGGAGAACAAGAGCACAACCTGCGTTGGAAAGCCAGAAGTCCTCTGCAAAATATGCTTCGGAATTGTATCAAGTACTTTAACAGTCTGAAGGTCTTCAGAACACCTGAATTTTTCATCAAGCGCGTGCTTCAATGGCTTTAAATCATGTCAGAGATGATATTGCCTCAATAATTTCACCAGAACAAGCACAAAATAAATTTATCCGAATTATTTTCTGGGATTAGAAATGATTCTTAAGTTTATTATAAATGAGAGAAGTGTTAAAATAGTTCCCGAATCATTGTAGAGGATTATTTTAGTCCCAGAGTTCATAAATGTGTCGATTTAGTCCCCAAATTCTTTTAATATGAGCTGAAATAGTCTTCTGTTGGGATTATTTCAACCCCAATTTGAAGTGTCTGGGGACTAATTTGACACTTTTATAGACTCGGGGGTAAAAAGGATCCCATGTAAATAGTCAAGGGACAAAATTGACACTATAGTATAAAGTTTATTATTTTGGATTAATATCATTTCAAAAATTGAATCTAATTTAGATTTGAACTTCCACCTCCTTATACTCCAGTACATAGAAGGAAAATAAAGATTCATGCTATTAGAAAGGCATATCTGATTTGTAAAATACCTGGCTGGATTGACATGTGTATGCTTGGAAAAAATTGCATAGAAGGAAATTGACTTTCACCTATACTGATAACTTGGTGATAACCACAGCTCCTCCCTTTCCCATTTTGATAAGAGGGAAATTTACATACAACCACACAATTCTTATGTATTTACATATCTAACAATTAAAACTGATGTTTACACTTATAACACTTTGGTGTTATAAACCTATGTATGAAAATGTGTACTTCACTTCTAAAAAATAGTGATGGGGATTTTTTTATGTGATGTTAAAGATTTAAGTGGCATTCATGTAAATATGAATATTTAGGTGTTAGATATGTAAATACATAAGAATTGTGTCATATGTATGTCAATGTCCCCTGATAACATTATTATTAAAAATTCTCTGTTGGTTATAAGCAGACAGTGCAGAATGAATTTCTTCCCCTTGTTAGCAGGATAAGGTTGATTATGATGATGCTCCAAATTTCAACTCAAACAACTTGAGCAAAAGATATTGTGGAATGAGAAAACCGATAGCCAAAAAATTGCATGTCATTAAGAAAAGATTATTGATGGACAAATGTAGTTTAACATTTCTTTCAATTTCAATTTCGAGAGGCACAGATTGTTTTAGCATAATAAAAAATTTTTTTTTTTGAGAGTTCTGAAAACAATTATGAGGTCCAATTAAGCTGGAAAAAAACAGACATCTCAATTATGTTCATCATCATCATCATTAGTCTCATTTCAACTATTTGAGGATGTTCGTTAGAAATTTATTGGATTGTTTGGTTGGCTAAAAAAAGAGGGTACTGCATTTGAAATGCAAGGGCTTTGAAATTTTGGATTTTTGTTTGACTGAAAAAGAAATTCAGAGTAAAATTGCAAGTGAATTTCAAAGGCGCTTTATAGTTCATTTCAAGTGTATTTTCAAATACACTGCAAAAGGTGGCAGCCATCTAAGCTGCTGCAGCCACCGTGACCATCCACTATGCTGCCGCCAACCACCATTGCCCGTCGCTTCCCATCATAGTTGTCCCATGGACTTCCGTCAGCCAATCCGGCTTCAATAGCCTACCAACCACCACCACAGGCCCACAACCACCACCACCAAGTGCCCGCTCCAAACAGTAGTTTGTTTTGACTATATGAAATTGGTCACATTCCGGGAATTTCAAAATCAACTACAAACAATGTAGGCCAATGCGACCACCCAATGTGATGTCGCAGACCATCATTGTTTGTCGCCGCCTGCCGCCTGCCGCCGCCGCCTACAACCAAGCCAACCATGCATGACGCCTGCTCATCCCCTTTCGACTGCCTGCCAACCGCCACCATGGCCCACCCCCAAAGCTAGTCAGCCGCCGTCAATTATATTTTATATTAGTTTCATTTATCTTCAAATTAAGAATAAAAATGTGAACTCCATTTATTACACCGAACCACATGGCTCCTAAGGGCAAAATTCTAAATTTGGTTATGAAAATATTTATATTATAACTTAATAAAATAACTCCTTGGAAAACAAGAAATCTCAAATGAAAGTTTTTTTTTTTCTTTCCAACTTTATTTAGACGATTACTACAACATACCAAAGAATAAAGTTAGAAGACAAACCATATGTAGTCAACTGTGCCCATGAATTGCTGGTTGTAACTAGTAACTTGAGGCTCTCTACTCGAGTCTTTTGTCCCCGTATAATCCTGTCAAATAAAAATAAACAAACTAAATCGACAGTTTTCTGGAACAAATAACATAATAATCACAACCACTAATAGAGTATTGTAATTATCTTAATGCACTAAAAAAAAACATCAGGCCCGTTTGGGATCATTTTTATATTTTGTTTTCTATTTTTTATTTTTATTTTGTTTTGTTTATGCATCGATTTAAATTAACGCATGTTTGATTGTGATAGTTGTTTTCAACAACACAAAAAAAATGTCTTAAAGATGTTTTGAGTGTTTTTAAAAATAAGACTTATTTTAAAAAGAAAAAAAACATATAAAAATTATACTATCCAAACAAGTTACAAGAAAAGTAAAAACAAAAATAAAAACAGAAAATCAAACTGATGCCAAACCGGACCTTACTGTTCCTTTTACATTGGTTCCAATGAAAAATGATCGCCATGATTGTGAAGCATTAATACTCACAAAACAGAAAATGTGAAATCTCATCGATTAATTCAATGCTAATTGTCTTTTTAATTCGAACTTAAACAGCCTATTAGCATAAACCTTGTTTCAATAAAGGGAAATTTACATACATAACACAATTCTTACGCATTTACATATCTAAAACCTAAAGTTTGATATTTACATTTATGACAACTTGTTATTAAACACCAATACCAGAAAAAGGTATATTTCACTTTTAAAAAATTAGTGATCCTAGTACTTCTGATGTAATAGTGCATTAAGAGAGCTCCTAGACTCTTTGAATATGTGCTGAAATAGTGCATTAAGAGAACTATTTTAGCTCTCCTTAAAATAATTAGGGGACTAACTCGACACTTTCATAGACTTTAGAACTAAAATCACCCTTACAAAAAGTCAAGCAACTGTTTTGATACTTTTCTCTTTCCTATAATCTGCTCCAACTGTTTTGATATTTCTTTTAAAATTAAGCATGGATGGAGAATAAACAGCGAGTCACTTGTGGGTTTGATCAGCCAAGAGAACTTGAAAATTTGATGAGGTTTCATCAATTTTTGCTGTATAACTAACCCTCTCTCAATGCATATCGTTATTCATGAACTAAATACAACCTTCAATAATACTGAAGCAGGGAATTTTGTTGAAGCTATGGTATTGCCATTATGTGAGATGTTGTAAAACAGATGAGTTGATACAAAATCATACATATATACTTAGTACTTAAAATATAGATATTAACTAATTACTTTTCACGAAAACTGAGCTTATTTTCTGTATGAAATGTGAACATTTATGCAACAAATTTTACATAGATAATGTATCGAAAAACAAAAGGAGTAATATTTACATACATACCACCCAATTCTTATGTATTTACATATATAACACCTAAATTTCAATTTTTACAAATAAGCCACCTTACCTATGCATGAAAAGTTGTATTTACTTTTTTTTTAAGTTATAACAGTGGTTTTTTTTATATGATATGAAAGATTTGGGTGTCATAAATATAAAAATCAAAATTTAGGTGTTAGATATGTAAATACATAGGAATTGGGCGGTGTCTGTGTAAATGCCCCCAAGAAGTAATTAGCTACAACCTCAACATCTGTGTATACGCTCCTTAGCTTCAAAGTATGTTCAACAACCGTGCATTTCGCATTTCCTGATGCAATCTCCATTTCCATTGGGCTCCAGCAGTAAGGGTTATAAAAACTCGTCTCAACATTAAACACGGCACTGGATGGAAAAAACGACGAATCTTCCTGAAGCTCCAAATTTGGCGAACTAACATCTTTCGTAATTTGATTGTCGTCTTCCATACCAAGAAGTTCCTTAAAAAAATTGGGATCGGCATTTTCCTCCATGCCAAACACCACGGGAGACTGGCCGTCTACATTCTCATCTAAACCAGATAGCTTAGAATACTCCCTGTTTTCTGTTGAAGTTGCATCTCTACTTAAATTACCACAAAGAGCAGGTGCTTCTTCAGGAATATTTTCCGAGGCAATATTTTTACTGTCCCCAACAGAATTCATATTGTCAATTATTTTTTCAACTTCAATATTAGATTTAATACCCATTCTATGACTCACATGTGAACGCGCAAAATCACATGGATCCGGCCTATCTCCATTGCCAGGATTCTCAGTGTTTTCTACTATTTGCACATCTAGATTTGCACCAGAAGTGTAAATTTTCTTTTCAGAAAAAGAATCATCTGCCTTACTAGAATCCATGGTAGAGAAATCATCTTTATTGCTATGAAAAAATGGAGAATTACCAACATTGTTGTAGTTTACAGTATTGTCTTTAGAAGTCAGTTTTATTTCGTCTGCAAAATCAACATTTCCCGGAGAAACCTCGAGGCCTTCAGAACAAGGTTTAACCAAAATATTCTGTCACAATCAATAATAATAATTAGTATCTGCTATTAGAATCTGCTGAACTTCTAAAGAGGAAAAGAATTGTCATCAAAACTAACCTTATGAGCCTCTTCTCTATTCTTCTCAGCATCTATACTAGCATGGTTAATACTCTGCTGGATGAAAAATTCAGATGTTCTACTGGGCATATTTGCAAACTCCAAATAGGTTGAACTTACTTCACCACCTTGGTGACCAAAAATTTCGGCTTCCCCTAATTTGATGGCAGTAGCGCAGGGTGACATCTGCAAACGAGACTTTTGTTCTAAATCTTGATACAATGTCACAGCAGGTTTCTCAATTGGAGATGAGTTTCCCATATTATGCTTATTGTCACCAAATGTACCTTCACTACCATAACGGCTGAAAGTCTGAGGTCTGAAAAGCACAATAGAATTCTAAACAAAAAATTTGCAATTTTTCGGAAGCTCAACCAGGTTCTAGAAGGTAAATTTTATTTACATGAACGAGAAAAGTGTCAAATGGTCCGCGACTCTTTGTATGGAGCCATTATGACTCTATACAAATATCAATTCAATCCTCAGACTCCTTTAATGGAGGCTAAAATAATCCTCCTTGGGGACTTTCAAGCTCGTTCTAAAAAGTCTAGGGACTGATTTGACACTTTTATGGACTCTAGTACTAATATAGCTACATGTAAATAGTCAGAGAAATATTTAGCACTTTGCACTTAAAGTAACTATTCTCAAATATTACATTGATTAAAAGTTAAATTTGAAACATAGAGATTATGTTCACCTATACCTGTAACGAAAATAAGGCCTATTGTGTAATGTAGCAGAATATTGTCCTGATATCTGGTCTCGGGTGAGACCCGACAAGTTCAACTACAAATCATAAAGAAACAAAACATTTCAAAGCATTTATACAATACAAAGATGGTAAAAGACTATTCACGAATCATTTAGAGAAGAAGATATACCTTTCGCGTAGCTATAAATTTGTAGAGGGGGCTCTGATTGAAATACATAAATAATATCAATAAGCTATATGATAGGAGAGAGAAGAAAGTGAAAAAAATAAACAACCCAGAGCAAATGAATTTTCACAAAACATGCAGATTTATGAAATCAGATTCAGCTGTAAAATATTGGGAAATTTACATACCCAGTAAACAATTCTTATTTATTTACATTTCTCACATCTAAACTTTCATGTTTACATACAAAACATTTTAGTGTTTTAAACTTATGCATGAAAAAATGTATTTCACATTTGAGAAGTGGTGATCGTGCTATTTTTTATGTGATACTAAATATTTGAGTACTATATCTATAAATATGAAAGTTCACGTATGAAGTATGTAAATACATAAGAATTGTGTGTAATGTATGTAAATGCCCCTAAAATATTAGGCAAAGAAAGCCATAAACAATAATAACTTACCATTGGTATAGAATTGAAATCTCCACATACAATAACTGGAGCATCATTCCAAGCCCTAGAGATAACAGATGCTCGATCAAAGAGAATCCTCACCTGTTTATACTATGGAAATTAGACAACATTCAAAGCATAACTTTTGCTACTTCAATAATAGAAAATAATAAATAATTTGTTTCTACGAGAAACATTCGTGCAGGCTTTACGTTATTTTATACTAAGCATTAAGAAAAATCCACATATGCAGTAAAATATTACAGTTTTTTGCACTTCCGGATTAGTTCTACTTATATCAGCAACTAAATGCATGAAGCGTGAATAAATGCAAGTATTTGCCAACAATATAAATTAATGAACGTGAAGTGAAAGTTGTTGGGCATTAAAATGCTGCCCGGAGATTGCACAGGGTTATTGATTAAATAAAATAGCATGAAAAAGTTTAGCAAAAAAAAATTATAAGAAGATTAAACCCCAAACTCCTTGGAAATACATTTGAGAAATGTGACAATCAAATCTGCTCGATATGATCTGAAATAGCTCGGCTGCTACATCTAGGGTTGTAATAAAGCCGAGTTGAGTCGAGTATGTCATGAATTGGACTTGGCTTGGATGAGTCATAAGTTGTACATGTTGAGTCTGAGCTTTAGATGAGCTTCCATATAATCATATATATATATGTGTTCATACTTGTTTTTCATACTTGGCTTATTTATATTAATTAAATAAGCTAAAAATTTGAATGAGTACATAACTTTTTGTATGATGTGTACATGATTTTTCATATAAAGCTAATAAATAAGCTAAAAACTAAAATGATCACTTCTTTTTTTTTTATATATAAAGCTATTAACAAATTATTTTAAAAACTAAATAAATAAGCAACTGGATAAATTTCAAATTAGCATCTAACTAATTTATACCAAATAAATAAAATAACATATAAGTTGTAAGTAAGATTTTTTTAATCAAATAACAAATAATTACTAATAAACTAGTTCATTAAAATAAAAAAAAGAAGAGATTGAATTAAGTTTATATGCATATTGATATGAAATTACACTATATTATTATTAAATATAAATAATTGAATAAGTTCTAATTAATTTAATTATATTTAAATAATAAAACACACACACAAATATATATATATATATATATATATATATATATATAAGAAGGCTCACTTACATGTCAAGACACACGAGAGTGTTCCTTTGATCCAATAATAGATCAGCCTATACAACATGTAATTGCTTCAAATATTCAACAACCTACACATCTTCAGCACACTTTAGACCAAGATCAGGTGAGCCAATCTTCGGAACAGGAATGACAGGTTTATACCAGAAGGAAGAAGAAGAATGGAGACCGACTCCAGCTCGAGAACATATTGGATGATACACTGGTTACTACTGGTAATGACAATCATATTACCAACTTATTAACGTGCTACTTCCTTAGAACTAGAGACAGAGGCAAAACCAAATTGGGTCGCTCTCTCACCACCTGATACTTTTTATTTCGACACTGTTAGGTTTTGTCTTTAAGTCTCTAATGTACTTTTCTGTATTTTCTAGTTTTGAAATCATTTGTGGTTATTGTGTGAGCAAAATATTATCTTATTTAAAAAAACTTTTAACTATCTTGATTGAGTTGAACAAGTAGTTCTTTGATCCTATTATATATATATATATATATATATTTATTTATTTATTTTTTTATTTTTTTTGGAAAGAGCAGCGGTGGCTCCCTACGCGTTAATAATTAAAAAGAAAGTACAAGGTTAGGGGGGGAGAGGGTCCCCATCTAGAAAACACAAAAAATACATTTGACTCACTCCTAGGGGTCCCTCTTCCCTAAGTATAACTCACACAAAAAATAGTCTCCAAAATACAGGTATACCCAGAAAACCAGAAAAAAAAAACCAAAATAAAAATAGTAATCCTGTGTGTTTTTATATCTTGGAAGTACTCATGGAAGTATTTGAAGGAAGACAAAAAAGAAAAGGTCATGAACAGGAGGCGTCCTCTATGCCGCGTCCAAGAGCAAAGTCTCCATCCCAGCCTTTGTCTTCGAAAAAGAGATCCTCCTGCAAAATATTGCAAAACCAGCCAAGCCAACCAACAAGCCAAAAAATGAGAGAAAAACAGCGAAGTCCAGCCAAATCGAAAATATAGCCCATAAAACTTAGAAACGAATGTAGGAGAGATTTAAAGTATCTCCAATGATGAGTCTTCGAAGATGGGCAGTGGGATGTGTGCCAACGTAACAAGTATCCCCTGCATTTTTAGCAAGCCAATTTGCAGGAGAATTGCCCTCTCTATGAATAAACTTCCATCTAACCTCAAGATGTTTATCAGCTATAAGGATCATTATTCTTTTAAAAATACCAATTAAATCCCAAAGAGGAGAAGTAGTACCAACCAAAATATCATAAAGCATTTTTGAAGCCATCTCCACCTCCAGTTTACGAAAATTGAAGATGATGGCCACCACTAAAGCCAAAAAGACTCCCCAACATTCAACAGCCAAAAAAGTTTCGGCAATAACTGGGGAAGCGAAAAAGACAAGGATTTCCCCTCAAAATTTCTAAATAAACCCCCAACCGCAGCATAGTTAGCATGCCAACAACCATCAACATTTAATTTCACATAATTAGCATGCGGAGGAGCCCACAAAATAAGCCGAGGGACCTTGGTGGTTTTAACCACGGAAGAGCTAGCTCTTAAAGTTTTATCATAATAGGCAATCACATATGCAGCAACCATAGTAATAGAGGGGGGAGAGGTGTGATACTTAAAACTTCTGGAGTTCCAAAGGAATCACAAAACCAACAAAAGGGAGGGGAAACCTCCCCTTACAGGCATCAAAATCCTTCCATTGTCATAAATAACTAGTTAAAGATCCTCTATGTGTCCAAGAGAAATCAAAGTGAGCGCCAACCATATCCCAGACCTCCAAAGAGAAAGCACACTCAAAGAAAATGTGTGTTATATCCTCCTCCATCATCACATAGGGCATCTAGAGGTTAATTTCAAGCCCTTAAGCTTAAGACTGTCATCCAATGGGATTAACGACATAAGATAAC